TTTATTGGTATCAGGTTTCTCTCTCTCTTTCTTTTTTCTCTCTCTCTCTTTCTCTCTCTCTCTCTTTCTCTCTCTTTCTCTCTCTTTCTCTCTCTCTCTCTCTCTCTCTCTCTCTCTCCTCTCTCTCTCTCTCTCTCTCTCTCTCTCTCTCTCTCTCTCTCTCTCTCTCTCTCTCTCTCTCTCTCTCTTCTCTCTCTCTCTCTCTCTCTTCCCCCCCCCCTCTCCCTCTCCTTCCCTGTCTCTGCCTCACATAGATATGCCTGCTGTGTGTCCGGAACGAGAGCGCTACACACACACGCACTCACTCACTCACTCACTCGCTCACTCACTCACTCACTCACTCACTCACTCACTCACTCACTCACTCACTCACTCACTCACTCACACACACACACACACACACACACACACACACACACACACACACACACACACACACACAGGCATACAGACAGACAGACGGGCACAGATGACGTACCCAAGGCCTGGCACTCTGGCACTACATCTCGTGTGTCAGGAAGCTCGGACTTGGCCCGAGGGAACAGCTGGAGGAGGAAATGCCAGCCGTGCCCGTGTTTGTTTGTTTGTTTTTGTTTGTGTGAATGTATGGGGTGAATGTGTTTCTTTGTTTGTTTGTTTGTTGTTTTCGATTTCTTGGTGTTTGTTTGTCTTGGATCTGATTTCGACTGTTTTTCATTGTCTGCTTGTTTATTTTATTTTATTTATTTGTTTTTTTGAGCTTGGAGTGCTTGTTTGTGTTTGTTTTTTTACTGTTTGTATGGCGTGTTTTTTGTCTCGGTTTTGATTGTTTGTACGCAATGTTTGTTTGTGCGTTTGTGTGAAGGACCGTTCATATGTTTGTTTGGACTCCCTGTTTATATTTCTCGTACGGCTTGTTTCGCATGATTGCTTGTTTGTCCTTGATTGTATGTAATCTGTGCATTGTTTTTGCGTTTAGTTGCATTGGGAGATCATCTGTGTTTGTTTAACTGTAATCGTCTAATGGTCTAAGTAATGCTTGTGGAAATAAATGCCTGTTACCTCTCTTCCCAGTGGCTGTTGGTACTGTAATTGTACCTTGTTCTTTGTTCTTCTAAACTTTTCTTTTTTCAATTGTTGATTCTTATTGTTATGGGCAGTTGTTTTAATTGGTAGTTGTAATTGCCATTGTGTTTTGCCATTGTGGATTATTCCTAATATTGTAATAACCGGTTGTTCGTGTTCCCGTAGTTATTTTGATCTGTATTTATATTCCTTTTACTGAGTAATGTTTACGATCGTAGAACATAACTTAATATCTGTGTGCGGTAAAGTTTGAGTCTGTTGGGGTTATTTTCAAATGAATTCGGTCGACAGGAATGCCTCTACTTCGCCTGAATCGCAGTCCGTTAGAAGGGAGGCTCTGGGAAATACTTTTTTTTTTTGGGGGGGGGGTTAAACATTTCATTTCTTCTTGTAGTTATTGTTGTTGTTCATGTTGTTGTTGTTATTATTATTATTATTATTATTATTATTATTATTATTATTATTATTATTATTATTATTATTATTATTGATATTATCATTGTTATTATTATCATCATTGTTATTATCTTTATCATTGTTACTGTTATTTTTTATCATTATTATTATTACTATTATTATTATTATTATTATTATTATTATTATTATTATTACCATTATGATAATAGAAATGCTAATAATTTTAATGATAATGACAATAATAATTATAGCATGCCCCATCAATAATAATTATAACATATGATAATGATGATAATGATAATAATACAACTACTACTAATAGTAGTAGTAATAATAATAATTTTATAATAATAAAGATAATGATTATGATAATAATGATGATGATAATGATAATAGTAATAATAAAAAATAACAGTAACTAGTAATGAAAGTAATATTAAGTTACTATTATTATTATTATTATCATTCTTTCATTATTATTGTCATTATTATTATATTGATGATTATTATTATTTATATTATTATCATCATTTTAGATGTATTATTCATATTCCTTCAAGCACCAACACCCACACAGACATGAACACTCCAACAGATATGTGCAAACACTCATAGACGAACACACACTTATTCATATATCACACTCATAAACATGAATAACATTTACGAACATGAACACACTCACACCTATGAAAATGCACTCGCAGGTTTGAACATACCGACATTAGCCCACAGTCATAGACATGAACACACAGATATGAACATACAGACTTGGACACGCATTCACCGACATGGACTTGCATGAACAAGCACTCGCAGAAATGAATGCACCCTCACAGACATGAATAACTCCCGCACAGACAGCCCCTCACATACTCACAGACATGCACAACCCCTCACGCACTCGCAGACGTGAACACACATTCACAGACATGAACACACCCTCACAAACGCATATCAGAGGTCGCACATATTATCTCGGTCGACAACAGATCATCCATAGGCCGAGGGATCTGTAGTCCACGCTCGACCTTATCCTGAGGCTGTTGTGCTGTGTCTGTGTTTGTCTGTGGGGATGTGTTTCCGTGTTTTCTTTTTCGCTTTCTGTTTTGAGGTGTCTTTTCCTTTCCCTATTCTCCCCCCACCTCTCTCTCTCTCTCTCTCTCTCTCTCTCTCTCTCTCTCTCTCTCTCTCTCTCTCTCTCTCTCTCTCTCTCTCTCTCTCTCTCTCTCTCTCTCTCTCTCTCTCTCTCTCTCTCTCTCTCTCTCTCTCTCTCTCTCTCTCCCCCCCCTCTCTCCTCCTCCCTCCCTCCCTCCTGTATCCGCCCCCCTCTTCCTCTCCCTCTCCCCCTCCCATCCCCCTTCCCCCCTATCCCCTCCCTCCACCCCCGCTTTCCCGATTCCTTCTCACCCCCCATTGTTCGGACCTCCACGTAATCTACCTTATATACAATACTGTTATTATTTGTTATAATGGTTGTTTACTGTTATTGTCACGAATGAACAGCTCCACAGCCATTGTTTGTAAGGCTATTGTAATCTCTCCTTATGGTCGTCTTGTGACTGCAATTGCTGGCATCATCGTTGCAGTTGCGATGACTTGTTGTGCAAAGGGAAAATTGGCCGTACTATTGATGTCGGCGAAATGTGTTCGGAACGGTTTTGACAATTAGGGGATAATGGATGAAGTTTGTACTTTAATTGATGCAGTTGCAGTACTGTGATGTGTGTGTGTGTGTGTGTGTGTGTGTGTGTGTGTGTGTGTGTGTGTGTGTGTGTGTGTGTGTGTGTGTGTGTGTGTGCGCGTGTGTGTGTGTGTCTGTGCTATGTATGCATCTAATGTAGATGTTCTTTTATGCTACAGAGATTTTTCCATTCAATTGGAGAAATAGAACATAAGTATATTTAATAATATATCAGAATACGTTATACCTAGCTAGCATACTCTGAAAGACAGAGAATGGTAGTTGGAGAATTTAGAGAGAGAGAGAGAGAGAGACGAAAAAATAAAAAGATAAAGAGGGAAAGAGAAAGAGAAAGAGAAAGAGAAAGAGAGAGAGAGAGAGAGACGAAAAAAATAAAAAGATAAAGAGAGAGACGAAAAAATAAAAAAAGAGAAAGGGAGAGAAAGGGGAAAAATAAAAAGAGAAAGAGAGAGAGAGAGAGAGAGAGAGAGGGGGGGGGGACTGAGAGAGAAAGAGAGAGATCAATCTGTATGTAGATTTAAACCTGGCTGCTTATTACTGCTGCATGTATATTGTTAGATATTCACTCAGACTACAAAGATGATCCCATTACATTGCAAATCTAGGATGCAACACAAGTATATCTACTGATATATCAGGAACATAAGCTATATACCTCGTTCTAGGTAGTATGCTAGGTTATACTTTAACGCGCTTTGAAGTGTAATGTTCAAGCCTTTGTCCGGAAGCAAACTTTTTCTGAATTGTCTTTATTTAAAGGTTTACAAGGGGGGGAATATTGCCTAGATATGATCCTCTCTTTGGCAGCCATTACACCTGCGTCAGTCTGTGATGTTTCGCTTTGAGAGGATGTGACGCCTAGATTGTGCTGTAAATCCTCTCTGGCTGTTCTTCTTTTCTGCGTAAATCCTTAATATCGTGTCTTTTTTGAGGGGATTTTCACTTTCATATTTATTCTCTACTATGTGCCTCGTCTTTTCTTCTCTCCTTTCCTTCGTCTTGCCTCACTCCTCTTCCTTCCCCCTTTCTCACCACTATTTTATCTTCTCGTTTATCCTCTTTTCCCTATCATTCGTTTTCGTTTCCCCCCCCCTTTCCCCTATATATATCATCTTCTCGTATATCCTTTTTTCTCCATTATTCTAACCCCCCCCCCCTCTTCCTTCTTCCCCCTTCCCACTTCCCTCCTTCTCTCCATCCACCTTTCCCCTTTCCCGTTTCTCCTTTCTCTCCTTCCCTCTATTATGTTTCCTTTCGCCCCCCCCCCCCTCCCTCCTCCTGTTGTTAAGGTGTCCGGATAAGTGAACGCTGACCGCCGACTCGGGTAGCAACGCCGTTCCGTGTAAGAAGGTTTTATCAGCATTTTATTTTTCTTTTAGAGGCCGTTGTAAAAGGGGATCAGGTCGGCTTTATAGGCGGCTCGTATTCTCCGCTCGCCGCCGGAGAGGGTTTCAGGGGCAGTCGTTTTCCCGCCTTATTTTGAGGTGGAGTTTGATGGGCTGTTATCGTGGTCGTTGGTGATGGCCCCTTTTTTTAGCGTTGTTTGAATTTATTGTTATTGTGGTTATTACTATTACTGCTGCTGGGTTTAGTTGTTGTCGTTTTTTGTTGTAGGTTATTCTGTTCTTTTTCTTTTTATTATTTTTGGTTATTTTTGTTGTGGTGATATATCTGTCTCTCTAGCTGTGTGGGTGTGGGATATCGTTCCTGAATATTTGTTTTATGACCTGTTATTAAGCATTAAGCCTTTATTAAAGACCCTGACGTCATAGCTGAGCCGGAGCCTGACCCCCCCCCCCCCTCTCCCCCGCAG